CCAGGACAGCCAGGGCTACACAGAGAAACCCTGTCTCGAAAAAACCAAAACCAAACCAAAACAAAACAAACAAACAAAAAACCCCAAAACTATTACTTAGAACACACTAATGATATTCCATGTTTTCATCATTTTGATGAATATAAAGCCTAGATCAATTTTTGGGTTGTTATAACAATTTTCTAAGCTGCCATAACTCACTCAAGCAAATATAGCAGGACATAATCATCCCCCAGAGAATCTCCCTAATTTTCTACCAACTCTGAGTGATACTTTATTTTTTTCCTCAAGAAACCTATCATGATAGGAAACAGAAGCCAAACCAAATCAACTAACTAACCAACAAAAAGACTTTAGCAAGACCTAACAATGTCAGTAATCTGACTGGCAACAACAACAACAACAAAAATGGCATTTCATTTTTTAAAATAGCATTTTAAGAGATAGCTTGGTGGCATGTGCTAGTAATCCCAGCACTCAGGAGGTGGATTAGTAGTTCAGGATCAGGAGTTTGGGCCAGCCTGGACTACTTGAGACCCTATCTCAAAAACAACAACAAAACCCCAAGTGATTCTTTGATTATTACAGATGGTTATTTTTAATTAAAAAATGTGTTCATGTGTGTATGTGTGCATGTGTGCATGTATGCATGCGTATGTTTGTCCATATGTGTGTGTCAAGGTGCAAATATAGAGACCAGAGAATAGTTTTGGGGGAGTTGGTTCTCGCTTATGTGGGTCAGGGAGTCAAACTCAAGTGGCAGGGACTTTTATCCATTGGCCCATCTTGCCCCTTATATTTTGCAAGTTGTAAATTTTATTTATTTAATGTTGTGGTGTTGGCATTGGCTCCAGGGACTTTTGTGTACCAGGCAAATGCTCTATCCTTGACCTACTCAGGATTCTTCAAATGCTTGATCTGTGTGTGCATCCATTTTCAGAGTTGTTCATATTCTACACACACACACACACACACACACACACACCCGTCACACCAGGCTGGCCTTGAACACCTAACTCTTCACCCCCACCCTCTTAGCCTTTTAGGTGGTGGGATTACAGACATACATATATAACCATGTCCAGCAGGGCTTCACTTTTAAAACAAATTTTCTATTTTAGAATCGTTTTCAGAATAACTTTACATTTACAGAAAAAGTTGCCAAGATGGTAGAGAGGTTGCCGGTATTCCCTTTCCTGGCTTCTGCAAACACTCACATCTTGTCAAAACACAGACATTCCATAAAGGCTTAAAGGTGTCTTGTTTTAAAGGTGCTGCAAAGAATCAAGCAGCTCTGATGGGAATTTTTTGTTTAAAGTTGGGCTGATTGAAACCATAAATTCTGTGTATTTTGGAGTCAAAGCACCATGTTCTGAAATAGTGTTAGGAGTTCATTAACTCTCCTGCAGAACTCACTTTGTTACAAATAAACATACTTCAACAGACAAAGACGTCCACGACCGGAGTTTTGATGTGGAAGACTTTTGGGGTCTGGAAACTGTTCTGAGGGATTTAATTTGTGGTTGAATCTCCTCTGGTTCCGTATAGCATCCCTCTTACCCTGTGGTTAAGCTGTTTCACCTTCTGGGGTTAAAGGACAAAACCCTGAGTATGTGCCTAGCATCATCCTGGTTGGGAGCAACATGCCATCAGGCCATTTTCTACAAGGACCTATCATCTTTCTCCTAAATTACAGCTTCCCCAGGGATTCGTTGATAAAGGCACATTTGGTCAAAAATGCTCTTTTCCTAGAGCTGAGTAGAATTACTTGGGGGTAATTTGGACCCTGTGGAGCATCAAGGTTGGGAACTGGAGCCAGAGGACAGTGTTCTTGGTGCCTGTTCTACCTCAGATCAGCCCTGGGGGTTTCTGTAGGCCCCTTCCTCTGGGGTGTGTGTATGTGTGTGTCATTTCTTCATGCCTAAAACACAGGCTGTCTATGGCCTCTTTCTGACTGGAGATTTTCTCAGTGACTCTCAAAAACAGATTTTATCAGGGATGATGGATATGCGATATGTCACATTGACTGTGGTGAGATGTGGGTATATATCTGTCAAAACTTATCAAATGTGTGTTTAAAATACGTGCAGTTTAGTATATGTTATCCCGTTTCTAGAATTAGAAAATGGAAAACGCAATGCCCTGTCATGATACGGATCTTTACACGGTCAGAAACAGAAACAAAGACCTCTTACAACTTACAGTCTTATCCCCGGGCCAGCTGCTTTTACTATTTTAATTCTCTCTCTCCCTCCCTCCCTCCCTCCCTCCCTTCCCTCTCCTCTCTTCCCATTCTCCCTCCCTCCTCTCTTCCCTCTCTTTCTTTTCCACTCTTTCTTTTAAATCTCCCCTCCCCTCTTTTTGCCTCTCTCTCTCTCTCTCTCTCTCTCTCTCTCTCTCTCTCTCTCTCCCCTTTACAGGGTTTTGCTGTGTAGCTCATACTTGTTCATGACCCTCCTGCTCCAGGCTGTATTGGATTACAGGTGTGTGCCCCTATACTCAGCCCTTTATTGTTGTATTTATTTTTTGAGACAAGGTTTGTCTCTGTAGCTCTGGCTGTCCTGGAACTCACTCTGTAGACCAGGCTGGCCTCGAACTCACCAGAGATCCTCCTGCCTCTGCCTCCTGAGTGCTTTGATGGAAGGCATGTGCCACCATGACTCCTTGACTTGACTGTGTGCATGTCTTTCTCCAGCTCTCCCCCATCTTACATTTGCCTGCCACTAGCAACTCAGAGTCTCTCTCTTTCTTTCACTACATACTCCCTGTCTTGAGACTCAGCTTGAGGGCCAGCCACCTTTTGAGGTAGCCTCATGGACGTCCCGTGCATTCATTTTAGGTATCAGTGACTTAAGACAGGATGTGTTGTAGTCTTTGCTTCTTGGGTTTATCTTCTTTCTGATTCTTCTTTCTTTTTAAATTGTATTTATTTTATGTGCATGGGATTTGGCCTGAATGTATATCTGTGTACTGTGTGTATGCCTGGTGCACAGGAGGCCAGAAGAAGGTGTCTGATCCCCTGGGACTGGATTTACAGATGGTCGTGAGCTAGTTTGTGGGTGCTGGGAATCAAACACAGATCCTCTGGAAGAGACGCTAGTGTTCTTAACCACTGAGGCACATCTCCAGCCCCTTCTTTTTCATTCTTTAGAGCCAGAAAAACCAGGGGTCATCTGGCAGAGTGCTTTCCTGACATGCATAAAGTCCTGGGTTTGACCTTCATCACTATACAAACTAAGCATGGTGGCACAAGTCTGCAGTCCTAGCACTCAGGAGGTAGAGGCAGGAGGTTCAGAGTCCTCAGCAGTTTGAGATCCATCTGGGCTCAAAAATAAACAAAATGGAACCAAACAAAAACAAACACCAAATTAAAAAACAAAACATGCTGGGCGGTGGTGGCGCACGCCTTTAATCCCAGCACTTGGGAGGCAGAGGCAGGCGGATTTCTGAGTTCGAGGCCAGCCTGGTCTACAGAGTGAGTTCCAGGACAGCCAGGGCTATACAGAGAAACCCTGTCTCGAAAAAACAAAAAACAAAACAAAAAAAAACCAAACAAACAAACCAACCAAACAAACAAACAAAAAACCAAAAAAACCCCAAAACATATGACACCAAACCAATCAACCAAACAAAAAACCTAGAACAAAGCAAAAACATAAAACATTAAAAAAAAGAAATAAAAACTAAACTAAATAATTTCTTCAACTAGAACCATGATATGTGTGCCTTTCTCCTTTGAGCAGTTGCTTGAGAATTTTAATCCAGGGATTTAAAGTGTGTGCAGATAAAAATTCTGATATACAAAGAGAAGTAGGAAAATTCTCTACAGCTGTTTGTGGTTGATTCTTGCCAGGCAGAGTATAATGTATAGATGATAACTAGGGTTCCTATTTATGTGGCTGCAATAAATAGGATTCCTAAAAGAAGACAGGTATACTCATTTTCCTTGTAGACATGAACCAAGTTAGACTATGAAAGATCTATGTGTATAGACAAAGAAAAATTACTGTCACCTAAAAACAATTTTTGTTAGTACAATCTTTGCTTTAGGAAAAACAAAACAAAACAAAAAAAAAACCCAAGCCAGGTGTGAAAACAGGTGCTTGTAACTCCAGCACTTGGGCACTAGACACAGGGGGATTGAGAGTTCAAAGCTAGTGTTAGCTCCAAAGCCAGTTTGAGGACAATCTGAGGGAGGGAGGCAAGGAGAGAGGGAGAGAAAGAAAGAGAGAAAGAGAGAAAGAAAGACAGACAGAGAGAGAGAGAGAGAGAGAGAGAGAGAGAACTGCAAATTGCTTAAAGAAATTCAGAGAAACAGATACCAAACTGCTTTCTTGCATAGAGGAATTCATGATGAAGTAAAACCCTTGAAATGCAAACTTTCTCAACAAGTGTCTTTACTGCTACAATCGGAAAGACATTATCATTTTGACATAGCATAGCATAGAGGTATTATTAATTTGGTACAAATGCAGATGGATCACTTTAGAGACAGTGTGGAATTAAATATTACAAGGCATTCTGTTTTGCTTATTTAATAGAGAGTGAGGCCGGGCCAGGCCACATCTCCAGGGACCCTGGGCAGATGTGGACTGAGTGACTACAGAGCTTTGAGGTAAACACTGTAAAAATAAACGAATGAGCAAAGTAATGGGATATGATGGATGGGATGCCAGGTAATTACTGTAAACGCTTTGTCCGAGACCCAGAAAGGACTTTAACCTCTAGGTCTTCTAATCTGGCTTCTATCACCTAGCAGGGCTAGTGGCACTTTCGGTTCTCAATCATAAACGTCTGATTTGCCCTTGGTATGCTTTAGCAATTTTGTTTTCTTTCCATTGAAATCTGTTATCTCATCCTAAAAAAGGAAAACATACAGACTGGCCCGCTCTGGTATCTGGGACCTTGAGAATTTCACAAGCAGGTGAGAATTTGACCATATGGGAATTGCCTTGAATTCTCATAGGGCCAATAGATAGCCCTCAAGCCCTGCTCCCTATAAAGTTCAGGCAGGGCTCTGAACTCTGGACTCTGGGAAAGCATTGACCATGAGGTTGACCCTGTTATTGGTTGCCCTATTTGGGTATATCTACTGTCAAGAAACATTTGTGGGGTGAGTGACACTTTCTGATGTTTATTTAGATTCTACTTACTTGATTCCCGAAAGCTCTCATGTGCCCACAGCTTGGTCACAGAATACGGGATGTACTCGCTCTGGGTTTTCAGAGCCCTCGCAGGTTGTGGGGAGAGATCAAGAAAGGTAGGAGCTGATCAAAGAGGAGATGAAGACTGTAGAGGAGGAAAGGAGTGGAAACCGTCAAAAGCCCTAAACAGAGACCTTTTATCTGGTAATAAAGGATAGGATTGCATGTCGGGACACTCACTGGCTATGGTGGCTTCTACAGTGTACAGACATCGGAGGAGAGGCTAGGGATTTTGCATGAGGGAGAAATGTGTTTTGAACAGTAGTGCCTTGACTCTTCCGGTGCCTGTGGGAGCCTGCAGGCTCTGAGTGGAGACGGAGGACAATAACTGTGTGAAGTTAGTCTTAAGATGGAGCCTGGGAGTTCCTCCATCCTTTGCGGAGGAAGAATAGCTTTAAAGATAGGGCAGGCTGTCTTTGGGAGAGTCGGCTCTGTGAGATGAGTTTAAGACCTGTTCCTCTTCCTTTCCCACGACCTTAGACAATGTTTTATGGGCTACGACAGGAATGACTCCATTTTGCAAAGTTGAATTTTCACAGAACTGACCTCATCTGTTTCCCTCCGTGTGGTCAGAATGTGGGGCTGATGGACAGCAGGGAAGAGACACTGTGTCTGTACTTGCCTCAGGAGCGTCGTAAGGGCCTGTCTCCCACCATTTCCCACCTCTCTGGACTTTACCCTTCCTGCCAGCACTTGCCTTCCCGTTTGCAGGTTTCTTCTCTGGGTGGTAGGGCCTCCTCAGGAGTTAGACCAGTCGGACGGTCGGGGGCTGCTGGTGTCAGGTGATGCTTTTCCTGGCGTTAGGACTCACTCACCTTTGTTTTGAAATCCTTTGACTCCTCTGTCTTGTTTGTTTGTTTCTGTAGTCCCGGCAGCCCCAGACTGCATAGAAGACTCAGGCTGCCCTCACCTTTGTAGCCTTCCTTCTGCTTTTGCCTCCCAAGTTCCAGGCTTTTAGGTGTGAGCCACCCACACCAGTCCCGGTTCTACAATTTGGTAAGGGTGCATTTTTGGAGAGTATTCCAAAGGAATTAATGAAGCCATGAAATTAATTAATTAATTATTAATGAAATTAATGAAGCTAATTCGGTTTGGGAATCAGAGAATGACATGAACTTTAGGATTTCTAGAATGTTGACAAAGTAAGTATGCATTAGAAATCTATGAAGGATTTTATTTTTTTTAAGTCACACCCTCCCTTTTTGGCTGAGCAACTCCTGGGCTGTGGTCTCTTAGAAAACATACCAGGTACTACTAGTCTAATGTGTTCCTCTTCCCAGCACCTCATTTTTTAAATTTTTATTTATTTATTTATTTATTTAATACACTTAGTGAGTACACTGTAACTGTCTTCAGACACACCAGAATAGGGCATCAGATCCCATTACAGATGGTTGTGAGCCACCATGTGGTTGCTGGGAATTGAACTCAGGACCTTTGTAAGAGCAGTCAGTGCTCTTAACCACTGAGCCATCATCTCTCCAGCCCCCAGCACCTCATTTTAGAGACAGACTCCTGGGAGTCCATGTATTAACTAAAAGTAATGAGACCCAAATGGAGGAATTTTCAGACCATTTGTGGCAGATGGCTACTTGCAGGCAGAAGGGTCTGGGAGAGCTTATGTTCTGCCACTTGTGTGTCACGCGGGAGAACCGTGGAAGCCATGCGGAGCTGTATCCGAAGGTCTGGCTTCCCATCCTCACCCCTTCTATTGTGACTCATTGCATTGTTCCTTCTCCAGAGCACTGAACAGGAAGTCAGCCTGCTTGGAAAATGGACGGAGGAAAAAAAAGGCTCTGCTGCTGAGCAAAAGGCTCTTCCACCCAAACTTTTTGCTAACAAAACACTTGCCAGTTGGGAATTTCTCTTTTTTGCCATGATACCATGTTTTTGTTTTTGTTTTTGTTTTTTCTCCTTAGAGCTTCTGTGTGCTTGAGCATGTGGTACCACCCTCCACTTGATTTGCCTGGGCCTCAATTTTCCCTCGCTGTGCCCCAAGTTTGTTTAGCCCAACGGGCCTGGAGTTGATACGCTGTTATATTTTCAGTCACAAAAATAAAACAAGCAAACAAACAAACAAACAAACAAACAAAGCAACCAAAAAGCTTCCGGTCTCCCCAGATGTGGATCTAATTCCTCTTACAGGCACCAAATTAATTATTTTCCTTTTCCTCTTTCTTCTTTTTTTGTTCCTCCCTGAAAAGCAGGAACAGACAAGTTTTAAGAGCCAGAACTTTTATGAGCAGCAGGTGTTATTTGACAAATTCTCATTAGCTCAAGGAAAGGAAACTTTAATGGCAAACTTCCTGCTAGGAGCAGGTACACCTCTTAATTATTATTTAGATAGTGTTTCCTTGGAGGAAATAAAGCCGTTTGATCACCTCCTCATTCTGGAGATGTGGGTCAGTATACGATTTATTAGTTTCTGGCTTGTGAAAGAGATTACTGGCCGGGCAGTGGTGGCGCACGCCTTTAATCCCAGCACTTGGGAGGCAGGGGCAGGCGAATTTCTGAGTTCGAGGCCAGCCTGGTCTACAGAGTGAGTTCCAGGACAGCCAGAGCTATACAGAGAAACCCTCTCTCGAAAAACAAAAAAAAAAAAAAAAAAAAAAAAAAAGAGATTACTGACTGTTGCATTCATCTCTACGCAGAATCCGACCGGAGCAAAAAGCAACAGGAAATGGTGAACAGGTTTGGCTCTTAAGGTCATGTTTGTGATTAATATATTTCAGAGACCAAGTTCTTGAGATCATCCCAAGAAATGAAGAGCAGATTAAAACTCTACTGCAGTTGGAGGCTGAAGAGCATCTTGAGGTATTTGTCAGACCGTCCACGTTTGCCGCCTGCCAGTAAATAAAGTCAGCATGATTGGCAGCTCTTTCAGTCTGTATTTTCACTCCTTGGAGGTGCTGTGCTATGCTGACTCTTAGAGCTTGCTTTCCAAAACCTTGGACTTCAGCAGCAATGCTACAACGTTGAGCAAATCACCTTCTTTCCTGGTGATTCATTTTCACAATCAGAAAATTGAGGAAAAATATATCATTCTTCAAATCTCACAGGACTACTGCAAGACTTGGGAAAAAAGATGGAAAATGTGAAAGCTGAGCACCTTTAACTCATCATTTCCCCTTTAAAATAATTTATGGCATTAATACTCCATGATGAGATGAATTGGACCTCTTGAGTGCCAGATTGATTTTATTTTTTTTTAAGACCTCCCATAATTTAAAATCATCTATCTGTTCCTCTTCCAATTTTAATATCTGGCCATGGGGTGTGTGTGCTGAAAACAACATATTTGCTGACCCTTGGGTACACAGAACTTCTTGTTGCTGTATCCCAGTGGTTCTGGAATGATTCTGTTTTTTTAGCCTCAAACTCGGTAACCAATTGCATTATTGAAATCCATCAATGTACAACTATTTCTTTCTCCCAGAGCGATTCCATCATTATCTTGGCTTGGCTCTTTATTCCTTTCAGCTTGATTTTTGGAAATCCCCCACCGTCCCCAGGCAGACAGTCCACGTCCGAGTTCCTTTTGCCAGCATCCAGGCCGTCAAAGTTTTCCTGGAGTCCCAGGGGATCGATTATTCCATCTTGATCGAAGATGTTCAAGTGAGTGTGTCAGAGAACAGCCTTGCAAAAAGGCCTGCTGGTCCTCCTCCCGCTCTGCCAGGAAAGGGGCCTGTGGGTTTCACATGGGTCTTCTATCAGTTCGAACTCCTATGCAGGATGGTGGGGAGGCACGTCTCCTCTTCCTTCTTGAATTTCACGCAAATGGAAGGAGACCAATCTGTGATTCAATTAGTTTTTAATTAGAGGTTAACTCAGAAAGGCAGGCTGAGCCACAAGATGGCCGGAAGGCCCTCTGAGCTCTGTCACCCCCAGCCTGCAACTGCTACCTGGCTCCCAGCCTGTGCATACCCCATCCCTTCTCAGAATACTTCCAGAATAAGAGGTATTTGACCCAGAGACTGGTAGACATGATGTAAACTCAGTGAGGAAGGCTTGGTCCTGGGGACCGAGTGTCGGCAGGTGATTTACTCCACCAGACTGAATGCACTGCTGACACAATGCAAATCATAGCATTGTTGCATCTTAGGTTCTCTTGGATCAAGAGCGTGAAGAAATGCTGCTTAACCAGCGAAGAGAGCGTGGTGGTAACTTCAACTTTGAGGCCTACCATACCCTAGAAGAGGTAGGTGTTTCAAAATGAAGGTCAGAGACACCAGCTGCTCTTTTCTCTGAGGACAAGGCTATTTCCTCGGGGGTGACTTGATAACCTACATATTATTCTCACTCTATTTCCTGGCTTCCTAAAGTCTTCCTCAGATTTTGTCATCAGTGCCTGCTTCAATGCAGGAACTGAAGTCCGCTTGACCATCCCAACAGCCACACAGTTATTTCGGAGGTGTCAAGAATGTTTTAAGTGAGTCCACAAATAGCTTTTCCCACTCTTCCCACAACACTCCTTTGCAGAGTTTTAAGCTGCATAGGCTACGGAGTCACTCAAGATCGACAATTCACTGTGGTCTTGGATGTGTCAGGGGCCACTTTGAATCAGCTGACTCCCACACACAAGGGTCTGCCTGTATGTTGGGGGCTCCCAAAGTGCACATTGATCCAAGGTCACACAGTAGCAAAAAGTCTAGGCTCTGCCTTTCTGGGTCTCATTCTTTTCTCTATCAGGGCCGTGTGCTGCTATGTAGGTACTTGGAATGCACTGCACTTACTAGTGTGACACAATGCCTTCCGGGGAAGCTGGTTTGGATCTATTTATCTGCACTGTCTGATTGGTGGTGACAAGGGGGAGTTAAGACGTGAAGAGAAGGGCTGGAGAGATGGCTCAGTGGTTAAGAGCACTGACTGCACTTCCAGTGGTCCTGAGTTCAAATCCCAGCAACCACATGGTGGCTCACAACCATCTGTAATGAGATCTGATGCCCTCTTCTGGTGTGTCTGAAGACAGCTACAGTGTATTCATATATAATAAATAAATAAATCTTTAAAAAAAAAAGACGTGAAGAGAAGAACAGGAAAGACTTAGGGGGCAATAAGCCAACAAATAAAGTTTAAAATGTATTAATTTTTTTCATAATTTATTTAGTGGTAAAAGCTATTTAAAACGATTGCGGGACGGGGAGAGACATGACTTGAACGGATTTGTTCATTTGTCTCAATGCCAGAAATACCAGCGTGATTGAACATGGGGGCAAATGCCGCCTGGTAATATATATTATATATGTGTCTTGTTACCTTCCTAAAATTCTCCCCCTTAAGAAAAAAGTGTCCTAGTCCGGCTAGAAGAAGAATGTGAAAGAATTAAAAAAAAAAAAAAAAGCGTGCTCTCTCCCACTTGCCGATCTAACAAACAAGCGTTTGCGACAGCAAATGCTGGCAGCAGCTGGATACTGTTTCAGGTCTGCCTCTGTAATGGTGGAAGTCTTGATATGTTGAGAATGCCTAGAATTTCAATGAGCCTTAAAATTTGGGGTCGGGGGGGTAGCCAGTGACTGGAGGATGTCCCCATTGTCCCAGGGCCTGCACTTGCGCATTTTGTATTTTGTAGCACAAGCCGGCCACATCTCTTTTGGTGCCAGTAAGGTTTGCTGGTTAAGGTTAAAGACTTCCCTGCTGGACATGGTCTACGGGGGGGAAAAAAGTCACAGGCAAATCAGACAAGTGGCATTTTACTTTGCACAGAACTGGAAAGAACCGGCTCTGCTGCGGCAAGATGGCTTCTCTTTTTCAGAGTGACTCATCATCCCCGTGATGGCTTCCTGCCGCCCCCATCCGGGATGCAGAGACCGGGAATGGAAGGGCGAAAAGATCCTAATAGCTGCATTCGCTCGGTCACTCAATTACAGATGCCTGTTTATCATTTGAACCCTTTAGATTTACCAAGAAATGGATAACCTCGTGGCTGAGAACCCTGGTCTAGTGAGCAAAGTGAATATCGGTTCATCTTTTGAAAATCGGCCCATGAATGTGCTCAAGGTATAAAGGGAACAGTGACTTTTGTTTTCCCTCTCACGATGCTTCTAGAATCCCGCTTCTCCCAGCTGGGCTTGCAGAGTAGGGTTTTTTCCCCCTTTCTTTCTCTCGCTCTCCCTTTTTTTTTTTTTCTTTTTTCCTTCCTAACCGGTCTTTGCTGGTTTTGAGCATCCCCACCACCACCCGCCCCCCTTCCTTTTTCTTTTTTCTCTTTTCCTGCACGCTGACGCAGGTCTGCAGGAGAGAATTAATGTGTCCTGATAGATGCGTTCGCGGGGAGCCGGGCCGAGCGCGCCAATTGGAGCCGAGCAGGCGAGGCGGCGGGCGCGGGGGAGGGGCGGGCGAGCACTGGGGAAATTAATCAAAGTGGGAGTTCTTTGCGGATTTTTTCTTTTCCTCTCTCTTTTCTTGTAAAAGCCAGCTTAAAAACAAACAAAAACAAACAAGCAAGCAAACAAAAAGCACCTAGTAATTGTTCGAACCGCATTAAAAACGCAAAAACAAAACAGAAAAAAACCCAAGAAACAAAAAAAACCACTCCCAAACCAAAACAGAAAAAACAAAACCAGTTTCTCAGTGTGCAGAGGATGACAGACAACTAAATGCAAAGCTTATGCCCTGGAGTGAAGGCTTTTTTTTTTTTTTAGATGACAGTTGAAAAACGGCTAAGGTTCGCTGTGACTAGTCACCCCTAACAGTATTCGGGATGATAGTTCAAGCATTTGCACTTTGTTCAGAAAAACAGTGAAAATTATTTCCCCAGACTTCCTAGAAAGAGTTTGTTAAGGGGTGTGTGGGGGGAGGTAATGTCACAACGCCCTACTAAATTTGGAGACGTTGTGGCTAGGAACCAACTGACTAACTGGGACATGGATTCCTCCGAGCGGTTTCCCCAAAGCTGGCCTGGAAGGGGTAGCTGCCACTACTGGACGGCTAGGCTGCCTGCTTACTACTGCCACTTTCTTTTCGGTCTGGCCTACCTCTGAGTCAGGGAACTCTGAATTCTCCGGCCTTGGTTTTTCCTGGCCTTCGATTTTTCCAAGTGGTTTGATGGTTGAAACAATTAAAAAAAAAAAATTCCTACTTTTGACATCTGAGCACTCTGAAGGAAAAGACTCAACATATTTTCAACAAAACTTTCCCAAACCTGTGAAATGTGAAAATCTTAGCAAGAATTTGCATTTCTCATTAACCTTATCTGTTGTGGTTGGAATGCTGCACAGAGATAGAAGTTGATGGTGCAAAAATAATCTTTTCCTCCTATTTAGTGATCCAATTGGCAAGGCCACTGTTGCAAATAACCCAGTCACTTAGATTATACAACTGAAGCGCTGGAGAGCGCCATGAGAGCACGCAGCCCTGTTTTGATGGAGGGCTCAGAAGGTTCCGATGAGATTCTTAGAACAGAAATTACAGATCCGTGCATAAACATTGGAAAACAGAGGAACATACAAAAAGGGCGAGGAATAGCTTTGGCAACTCGAATTCCCCACTATAGGATGATAGCTGTAAATATTTTCTGTTTCTTTTTTTCCCCGTTCCTCACTCCTCCTCACCACCCCCATACATTTGCTTGCATGCGTCCTCTCACATGAACTAGTCTTTTAAAAAAGAATGACGTACTGCCTGAAACCTGTTTCTCCTCTAATTTATAATGTGAGCATATTTTCATTACATTATCTGCAATTTTTTTTTTTTTTACAAACATTAAGGGAGGGAAATTTTGCTTTGCTTTTCAATCTGCATTTAAGCCTTTTTTCTTTCTTTCTCTCTTTTTTAAAAGAAAGGAACTAAACAAACTGACAGAAGAATCAAGCCAGTGTCACCTGGCCATCTCCTCTTGTTCTCTTAATCCCGTGGAGAACAGAAAGGGGACAGAGAAAGACCCTGCGGGGAGAGGCGCCGACTGGGGAGAAGCCCTTTCCATCGCTCTGTTTGTTTTGCAGTTCAGCACCGGTGGAGACAAACCAGCCATCTGGCTTGACGCGGGCATCCACGCTCGAGAGTGGGTTACACAAGCTACTGCACTGTGGACAGCAAATAAGGTCATTTTGCTTAAAATTCCTCACATATTTTGTCTTTTGGGAGTTAGGTTCTCTAAGCAAACACACTGCCCTGGTGGGCCTGATTGTGAGCGCTCTCAGCCAAATCCTCCTCTTACTCCACCGGCAGGAAACAGACTCAGCCAAGCTTTCTTTTCTTTGGTATTATCCCATCTAGGACGGTGGTACTGAATCCCTGGGCCCCTTGTTAAAAAACACAGCAAGCCAGAAGAATTGGAAAGGGTGGCGGGTACGGGTAAGGGGTGTCGAGTTTCAGCCTAGGAGCAGGAGGAAAGCTTGGTACTTAGAGGGAGGCGCCTCCACAACAAAGTCTTGAAAGGGCTTCAGAGAGCAAATGGAAACACGTGCGAGAAGACTCTAAACTACAGATCTAAAGTGAAACGAGCTGAGGGTGTGTGGGTCGTTCTGAATATTGCCCAAATCTGATTCTGAAGTTGGAATGTAGCAGTCTCTCGCTTCCACATAGTCCTTGGCACAAGAACCAGGACACGATGCTGGGTGTGACCTAGGCTGGTATTTCTTAAGTAATTCCAAAATGACATGCTATAAATCAGAATGTTAATTCACGAGCAAAGGAAATCAATCCACATCAGACCATTCAAGCATGTGCAACCACGTGCATGCCGACTGATACATTTTCCCCTTCAATTAAAATGCGGTTACCTTTAGGGTATTATGAAATGGATATTTAACAGTTGAATAATAATGCCTTAGGATGGCTGAGCACAGGAAATGAATACATTTTAATCCGGCAGAAACTTCAGCTCTCTTGCAATTGATTGCAGTCAAAATGTAATTCCCCAAATGGAATTTAACCGGTTCTCCGTATCTTTAGCAAAGTCCCCGCATATTTAAGTAATCTGATGTTGGTCCTGAGTTCTTTTGGAAAGTCACCCCATGGGAGGATTAATGAATATCAAGTTTTAAAAATTTGGTTCATAGATCCAAATAAGCCACACATACCATTGCCCACCATTGCAATAATAATAATAATAATAATAATAAATAAATAAAAAACCAAGACAAAAAAAAACCTTCACTACAAAAAAAAAACAGGGAGAGAGGTTGCTAGTTCTAAGAGAATAGATAGGTGATATTTACTTAATAAGGAAAATTAAAAAACTGATATTTACCTTAACATAAGAAAATGCTGGCACCAGAAAGGAAAGTTATAGATGCTGCAAGATACTGTACTCCAGGGAATTTGAAAGTTTCCCAGTGATCAACAGTGGCCCCTAATTCATGTTTGGAAACAGCAACAACAACAACAGCAGCAACTCAAACAAACAAACAAACAAACAAACCAAACCCCCAAACAAACCACAAAACCACAGTGCCATAGTATTTTGCAAAGCATTTTCTGGGCAAAGTGGGTGGTAAGATTGAAAGTCTCTGTCTCTCCTCAGATTGCTTCTGATTATGGAACCGATCCAGCCATCACTTCTCTTCTTAATACGCTGGATATCTTCCTGCTGCCTGTCACAAACCCCGATGGATATGTGTTCTCCCAAACCACCGTAAGCCACTCAATTATTTTATTTGTTGTCTTGTGTTGTTTTTCTGTCCACAGGACTTAAGACATGCAGGGACATGGAAAACCAAACAAAAGTCATCTGCCTGTATTTGATTTACTCAAAGCAGAGTGCCTGCTCTCTCAGTAGTGGCACCGGGAAACGTTTATGATCGTTTCTTTTTTTTTTTCTTTTTCTTTTTTTTTGGTTTTTCGAGACAGGGTTTCTCTGTGTAGCCCTGGCTGTCCTGGAACTCACTCTGTAGACCAGGCTGGCCTCGAACTCAGAAATCCGCCTGCCTCTGCCTCCCAAGTGCTGGATTAATCTGACGGTCAACGTCTTTACGTGTTGACTCAGCCAGAGCCTGTTTCAGCTGCTATGCTGGATTATTCAAGTGTTGGGCTTGCAGTGAGTCACCTAGGAGATTTGTCTCAATTGTCTCTGAGATTTTGTGTGTGTGTGTGTGTGTGCGCGCGTGCGCGCACACGTGTGACAGAAAAGAAGAGGCAGATACTACTCACTTACAGATTGCTACAGGATTTAAGTAGGCAGCACAATGCATCCTAGCATTTTTACTTACAATGTGTCAAAGAAATCCTCTGTAATATCACTAAGAGGAGTTATCTAGGCTCCCTCCCCCAAAGACACTGTGACAAAAGCACCACTATGGCCTTGTGACCTCATGTATATTCAGGATGAGTCAGAATCTCAAGTTTATTCTGGTAGAGAGCAGATAACAATGACAATGACAAAAGCATTTTCAAAGAGACTGACATTCTCTGCTCACAGCCTGAGACACTGCAGGAATGGATATAGGGGCCACAGGCAAGCCAGAGGAAGGCAGCCTATGATCTCTTAGAGGTTCATTAAAACAACAACAAATAACAAAACCCGAAACATTGAATAACCGTAGCTGTAACTGTAACTGTAGTAAGGTAACTGTAGTAAGGTTGCCAATTTAGTTCCTTATTTTCCTAAACTGTTCTCTCACAAATTCCCTCTCTCTATCTCTCTGTCTCTGTCTCTGTCTCTGTCTCTCTCTCTCTCTCTCTCTCTCTCTCTCTCTCTGTCTCTCTCTGTCTCTCTCTGTCTCTCTCTCTTTTTGTTGTGGTAGTGGCTAGCATTTAACAGACCCATGTTTTATGGAACATGGTTTGGCAGGCATTTATTTACATAAAGTGAACCTGGTATGGGGACCATTTGACAGTTCAGGGCAAAAGAAATATCGTGCAGTTCTGAAGGGAGGGAACAAGGGAATGAACCCGGGAGAAAGGACCTGCTGATCAGAAGGGATGACCGTTGTTTTTTTTCTTCCTTCATATTCATATTTGGTTGGATATTTAAAGAATCGAATGTGGCGAAAGACCAGGTCTAAACAGTCGGGGAGCTTCTGTGTTGGTGTGGATCCTAATCGGAACTGGGATGCAAATTTCGGAGGTGAGCACCGGGTGTCATCTCCAGGGATGGCCAGACTGGTTTGCATGGCTCTGCAGTGTTCAGCTTGTTTAGCCCATTTAGGATTCAAGTCATTTAAAACCCTCTTTGAAACACTTGACTGAATTCTCTCCTTTCACGGGAGTGCAGCCCTGTCACAGCTCCAGGCAGCACTTAATACGGTTTGCTTCACATCTTGGTTTTCCCCGCAGGCTGTAGCCCGGTTCAGCCTCTGAGTCAAAGAAGCCAGGCTTTGCACAATGGCGGGGGGCGCAGGAGGCGCTGAACCAACCGCTAGAGGGGGTTAGGATCTATAAGGAAGAGAAGCATTACATCATCTGGTAGATGCTTCGAGAAGGAAAACTTACAAAAACAAAAAAAGGACAAATGGAATTAAGAAATAGATTTTCGAATTACAGTCAAAGATAAAATGTCAGTTTGCTCATTTTGTTTTATTTACTTCAGCTTTTCTCTTTGGGGGGTTCACTGGCAAGCCAGTTGTGGGTTCTTTTATGCTTTTAGGCACCAGTTAAACCTGTTTCACTAATCACAGAGTTGAAATTTGTTTTTTTGGTTTTTTTTCCTGCTAGTTTCCTGTATCAGTACATTAGTTGTTTTTCTCATTGATGTGACTGAATACTTGACAAGCTTCGTCTCAAGGGAAGAAAGGTTTATTTTGGCTACAAGTTGGGAGGAACGTCGCACCACGGCAGAGAAAGTGTGGTGGTTATAGGAACGTGAAGAATGTGCTTGTATTTTGTCCATAAGTGGAGAGAGATGAGCGTTCTTGCTCAGGTGGAGCCCCTCTTTCCCTTTTAATCACCTAAGCGCCCCAGCCTGTAGGACTGTGCTACGGCGTTCAGGATCTAGGGTGGGTTTTCTCTCCTCAGTTAAACGTCTCTGGAAAGATCTCAGAACCTTCCAGAGGTGGGTTTCCTACGTGTTACAAATCTAGTTAAGATGACAATGAAGATTAAGTATTACAAACCCTGAAGCTAGGTGCGGTGTCTTTTTTCCTAATAACTAGCACAGAGTCTGAGACACAGAGAGCAATCATTAAATATTTGTAAACCAAATGAATTCTTGAGAGTTATAGAACTGAGACAGGACCCACTAGGGAGGAGTGATGGGGCACGCATGAGTGGTAACTTCATTCATTGCTTTAATGATTTATCCTTCTTATTATTATTTTGCATAGGAAAAACATAATCAAAGCACCAGAGCCCAAATATTGAACCAGATCCAGTAATTCAATGCCACTTCCCCTCTGAAACATTATTCTTAAATAACTTTAACATAAGATGGCAGAAGTTATATTTACATGGATTTTGCCTGATTTATGTAGAGAGCTTGGGAAATCTCAGGCCCCAGCCCCTGCCAGGCCTGCAGTGGCCCCGTTTCAGGCATCTTAAGCAACTATAGCTGTTGAGAGAATCAAGGTCAAAGGTGGCCTTGTCAGATGTTGTGATTTCTTCAGGGTGGAAATCGTGTCAGAGGTTCCTTACATTTGTAGCTTTGTGACTTAGAAATACAGATGCATAGAAACTTTTACTCTTGGACTCTACAGATTTGAAGAGGTCCCAGAAAGCGAGGTTACAAAACCGCCAGCCAGTGCGAGAGCTCTTCTTCCAACAGCTCCCACAGAGGGGACATGATCTAATCTGAGAGCTCCTTCTGCTCTACAGAGGATCCATATTTTAAAAGAAGAGACATGTCCAGGATGAGTTCATTTCTGCTTCCTGGCCATGCCCTCAGAGCAGGGATTTCGACCTAACACAAGCATAGGCTTATTATGATTTATGAAAGAGGAACTTATTCATGCACGTGGTAACATCCTCCCTGTAGTATAGCCTTGGCTGTTTTGGAACACTTTGTAGATTAGGTAGGCCTTGAACTCAGAAATCTTTCTGCCTCTGCCTCCTGAGTACTGGCATACCACCTCCACCCAGCTACAGTGTCTTTTAAGAAGACACTAATTAGGCTTCTTCTTTCTTCATCCCACTAGGACCTGGAGCCAGTAGCAACCCTTGCTCTGACTCTTACCATGGACCCAGGCCCAACTCTGAAGTTGAAGTAAAATCCATAGTGGACTTCATCAAGAGCCACGGGAAGGTCAAAGCTTTCATTACCCTTCACAGCTATTCCCAACTGCTCATGTTCCCCTATGGCTATAAATGTACCAAGCCAGGTGACTTTAACGAGCTGGTGAGTTCCTACATTGTTATTTGGAGTTTAATGACCACATCTGTTGTGTGGACAAGTGAAGTTCCATTCATAAAGTTAGATACTGAGGAGGAGGAATATTAGTGACAGGCTGTGAAGGTAATCAGACATGCTCCCAACGCAGACTACATTTCTCCAGTAAATAGAATTTATAGAAATTAATGGTGCCTTAACACAGATGATCCAGGAATCTGCTTTTTTTTTTCTTTTCAAGACAGGGTCTTATTATGGGTAGCCTAGTCCAAGCTGGCTAAAAAAATATGAAAAATTATGATCCTCCTGCCTGTCTTAGTGTCTTGAGTGTTTGGGGTACAGGTGTCTACTACCACGACTGGCCTTAGGAGCTTGCCATTACCATTAATTCCCACGGTATGTGACCTGGATGTGGAACTGAGGTTCTTGGACTGCTGGACAGATGCTCTGTGCTGAGTGGTACGGCTACCCATAATTCACTAGGACTTTCTTGGGGCCTTTCGCTCTGTGACCTGACACGACAGTGCACTGGTATATGATGTGTACTTAAAAGGCTTTCCTCCCTAACTCAATTCCTTCTGTCATCTTCCCCATTTCAGAAATAAACAGATTGGCTGCAGCCCTGGGTCAGATGGTGACATCTCAGGGAGCTGTACACAATTGAGCAACAGCAGTTCCCAGATGAAGAGAGTGTGCAAATATTTCCAATTTGGCTTTTAGGCTTTGATTTTGAAACCCATCTGTTAAGGAGAAGCCTGGAATTGAGACCTTTTGGACAATTTACCTTCAAATAGAGTTTTGCCAGCGGCCCCAGGCTGTCATAGAATAGATAATTTCAGTTCAAATATATCTTTCATCTTATCAGTTGGATTTTTGAGTTTGTTAGGACAGTTTTCAGGGTTGAAGGGGACTTTGTTACCGAAGTTACATCTGTGTGTGTGTGTGTGAATTGTCAAGGTTGGTAGGAACCTAAATATACTCCCTGCTCACGTTAAAAAGAAATTAAATATAATTTATTTTTAATTAAAAATCAGCATACAAAATATTAGTTTTCATCATGGCATTTAAAAAAGTTGTTTCTGTTGATTCTTGCCCCTGTTTTCTTCTTCCTCATTTGCTTCCTGTTCTATTCTCTTTCCCTTTTCAAGTAACATGTCTTCTCCTACCCCCTCACACCGTTGGAAATACTTCTTTCCCTCTTGAGGTATCTTTTATGGGTCTATATTTACACCTAGATAATCTTCAGTTGTCCAACTCCTGTGCTCAGGTATCTGTGAGCTCGTTCTGTAGCCTGCAGCCTAGGAGTATCTCTGCCTTCAAGGGAGCCAGTTCATGCGGCATAGAAGTTTGACTATTAGAGTTTCCCCTTGTCATTGTCATCTGCCTTCCAATCTTGCTTTGTCATTGGCTATATTGACGAAGTTCACTCTTTTTTGGGGGGAGATAAATCTATAAATTACTTCAAGACTAGACACTGGATTCTTCTGGGTCTTCCTATACTGCACCCCCACCTCCAAACTACCCCAACTCCGTTAAGGATTTACAGTTTGGGACCAAACTCCCACCCTATTTCAGGGTGCTGTTTTCCCAGTGCCAGCTTTGATTGTCTGTGTTCTTGAAATGTCACCCCCAAAGTGGATGCAGGACCTGTGTTGCAGGTTAGCCATCTTGGAACAGAGTGTGGCTGTAGCTGCTACCCATCCCACCCTTCACTCTCCTCCTGCAGATGCAGTTGAGGGTCACCTTAGCTTTTTGGCAGTTGCACCATGCTGTTGAGTCATGCTGGGCTCCTTGACAACTGAAACCCCCAGGCTCTCTGAGGCTTTGGCTGAGCCAGGTTTTCCCCATCTGGTATTTGTACAGTTGTTTTCCTGGACCCAAGTTCAAGACCTTACATTTATCCTTAGCAAGGACAGTAAAGCCTCAATCAGTCAAAAATGGAACTCTTGAGTAATGGAAAATATTTTGCTGAGGTCTGCTTCTTGGAAACAGAGAGAATCACAGGAAAATAAGCCAGTAGGGATGAACTAGGGAAAAAAAAACCAGACTTCCCAGGTACATCCTGAGGTCAGTACATGCACGTTCACTGGAGTTCCTTAAGCCTATGAAGCTTTCTAAAAGTGTTTTTTGTTTTTTTTTTTTCTGTTTTGAGACAGAATTTCTCCATATAACAGCCCTAGCTATCTTAGAACTCACTGTATTCCAGGTTAGCCTTGAACTCACAGAGTCCCACCTGCCTCTGCCTCCTGAATGCTGTTTAAAGGCATGTACTACCACAGCCTGGCAAGTTTATTTTATTTTATTATTTATTTATTTATTTATTTTGGTTTTTCGAGACAGGGTTTCTCTGTATAGCCTTGGCTGTCCTGGAACTCACTCTGTAGACCAGGCTGGCCTTGAACTCAGAAATCCGCCTCCCTCTGCCCCCCAAGTGCTGGGATTAAAGGCGTGCGCCACCACTGCCCGGCTGGCAAGTTTATTATTATTATTATTATTTTATTATTATTATAGTTTTACCTGCATATATGTCTGCACACTACCATGTGGTTGCTGAGAATTGAACTTAGGCCCTCTGGAAAAGGAGCCAGTGTTTTTAACAGCTGAGCCATCTCTACAGCCTCCTTCCTAAAAAATTTAAAACTACACTTGTTTACTTTGTTTGTCTGTGTGGAAGTCAGGAGACAGCTCGCAGGATCTGGTTCTCCTCGACCACGAGAGTCACAGGGACTGAGTTCAGGCTGTCAGTCAACAAACACCTTTACCCGCTGAGTGATTTCTCCGGCCGCCAATACTATTTCCATTTATGTTTCTAAACAAGGAGATCTAGTGACAAAATAATGAATTCTGGAGCATCAAAAACAGCCGCATAATGATAGAATGACTATATCATGTTGTATGTTCACAGCAGGAGAAAAACATGTGTGTTTACTTTCCAGAGAAATAGTTGAGAGGAAAGGAATGGGTGTACGTCTGTGCCAGCTAGTGAAGGAGTCCGAGTAACTAGGCCTCCCTGTCTATGTTAGAATATTGGATAACTGGTTTCTATGAGGAAAGTTTTATCCGTTCACTTTTCCTTCCAGGATGAAGTGGCCCAAAAGGCTGCCCAGTCTTTGAAAAGACTACATGGCACCAGTTACCAAGTGGGACCCATCTGTTCTGTCATCTGTAAGTATCTGCTAGACATTTGAACAAATGACCTGTTAAGAGGAGAAGCACCATTTGAATTTGGGTGAATGCTTTGAAATTGCCTTCAGGCGAAAGCAGTGCCCCTTGTGCCCAGAACCCAACCTTACCTGTTTTTCCCCAGGTCTAGGTTCCCTGTGAAACATTTATGATATGATAACACCATTTCTGGAGATGTGAGTTTTGTGCTGTCTCCTAGGCTTGTCCACACACCTTTAATCCCAGCACTCTGGAGGCAGAGTCAGGCAGATCTCTGTGCGTTCAAGGCCAGCCTGGTCTACATAGCCAGTTCTAGGACAGCCAGGGCTACACAGAGAAACCGTGTCTTGAAAATCAAGAAACAAACAAGAAACATTTATTGAAACTTACTCTAAAAGTCATGTTCTTTTATTAGTCTTCCCTTTCCTGGCCAAAAGTGACTCCTATCTTGAGTAGGTTCATGAACTGTGGGTAGTGAAAGAATGGACGTGGCTCCGTTAAGAGGACCTAGTTAGAAGCTGAGGGATTAGTTCAATGGTAGACCATGTGCTTAGCATCATGAGGTACTGAGTTCAAAAGCCCTGGGTTCAGTCTTCAGTATCAAAAACTCAAAACCAACGCAAATAGCAACAATAGGGGACTCTGATGGTTCAGTGGAAAGTTGCTGTTACAGGCAGCTGCCTGTGCACTGGATGGGGGACAGGAAGGCAGATGAGGCAGGGATACATCTAGAAGTTTGTTGGGAGACTCTGTGAGACTTTTCTGTCTTGCAGTAGGTACACTGGGAGACCTCTGCACAGCCTGAATTCCCCTTAAATGCCCCTTAAATGCCATTTAAACACCCCTCCTTATAGATAAAGCTAGAAACTCAAAACTATACAGTCAAGTGTCTATTTCCACAATGTCCTGTGCCCAAAGGTTCTTTGGAAACTAGTAGAATATGAGCCTCAGACAGACTCTATATCCAACAGAATTTCATTAAGCATTGTCATGTGCTAAACCTGATGCCAAGTACTGCAGATACAAGAAACCTACCAAGAATTCAGTTTCTTTTGCATAGTGTGTGTGTGTGTGTGTGTGTGTGTACGTACATGCATGTGTGGAGGTCAGAAGACAACAGAAGACAACTTGTGGGAGTCAGTTCTCTCTTTCCACTTTCTGTGTTCCCAAGATCAAATTCAGATCTTGCAACAAGTGCAAACTTTACTTGCTGAACCGTCTTGCCTGCTCAGAGTCGTTTTGAAGAGAGACGATTAGGAATGTGAAGGAATAAAGGAATATTAGGATATGTGTGCAATAGTAAGTTCTGCATGGTTCCACAGTATTGTAAAACTGGGGTGGAGGATTTAATGCGCTAGAGAAGCTTCACATAGGAAGGAAGCAGGGTTTTAAAGATAAGCCATCAGGCAGCTGACGAAGAAACAAAGGGCTAGGTACTCTGAGGAGTCAGATCCAAGGGTACTGAAGCATGGAGCTGCATGGAGGGCTCTGAGAGCCACAAGTAGGGTTGGGATTGCTGGGACGAAAGACGTGAGGAAGGGAGGCTGAAGGGTGGGATTTTGTGTGCTATGTGGAGACTTTCATCTGAAGGATTCTGGAAGCCATCTTGGAGTTCTCAGTGAAGCAGTTCAAGTATTGAGTGGAGGCTGTAGTGGTCATGGACTGGAAGTGGGTATGTCCTCCAGCAGGAGCTGAGGAGTTAGGGTTGGAGATGATGGTCCTAGCGACAGCAGGGCATGAGCATCCGTAGTACGTGCACAGAGAATGTGCAGCATCCGTAGTGCGTGGACAGAGCATGCGCAGTGTCTGGGACCTGCCATTGGCCCTCGTCCTTTATCTGCTGTACAGTTTCTTGTTGAAGATCATTGGATTGTGCCCCTCACTGAGAGGTGACATTCTGGATAATAAAAGAGGAGTGTTGGAAACAGTATGTGTTTGGTTATAGAAGCATGGAACTTAAAAAAAAAAAAAGAAATATGGAGCTTGAGGTTCTTGTAGGGTTCACAGGCTTATTTTATTTTATTTTATTTTATTTTATTTTATTTTATTTTATTTTATTTTATTT